TTTACATTTAATGTTACATTGAGGATATTATGCAGTATCTTTCAGACTTTCTGGAATTGTGTACAAGTAACATTTTATGGTAGCAGATGCGTGACATCACATGAAAAACTTATAAAACCTTTACATGAAAATCACATCTGTCAGTCCCCACTATCATTTTAACTGTGGTTATATGGTTTGCTTCTCCGTCTGTGACAGAGGAGGCAGCTTTGCCTGAAAGCTGTTCCAGGAAATTGTGTCTTCTGGACTAGCTAGTTAAGCAAATTGTGTAACTGCCATTGAAACCAAAATGTACCCAGCAGACATAATTTCACAAAAGAGGAGAAAAAAACCACATTTGTACAAAAGTCACAGCTGTTCCACTCTACATTTTGCACTTTTCTCATTGAAAATTTTTTTCTCTTCTGTATGAACAGTGACAGTTACATTGCTAGTTAGCAACTGTAGGCCTTCTTAATACATTGCTAAGTACTGTGCTATCATGGATTTGGTGTCTGTCAGAAGAAATCGGGCTAACTTCTGCCTGCTGTTCCATAGAATAGAAACTTGGTCCATCTGCCCTGTCTGCAGATGAAATAAGGGAAGATGTTGAGTAGGGCCCATTGTTCTCTAAAATGCAGAGCTGTGCGGCTGCCTCTGCTGCTCCAAACTACTGCCAACATCCCATGTTAAGGTCCACACAATACGAACTCTTCTTCTTTCAGGTCTTACAAATCTTAATCCTGGTGGTCACCTTGTCCAGAGTCACTCTCAAGTCATTGCTAATGGAGCTAAAGGCTCAGAATGCTTGGGTCAGGAGATGGTCTCAGGATGCCTGGGTGGCTCAGTTGGTTAAGTGTGCAGCTCTTGATCTCGGCTCAGGTTCCTGGGATCGAGCCCTGAGTTGGGCTCTGTGCAGATGGCGAGGAGCCTGCTTGGGATTCTCTCTCCCTCTCTCTCTGCCCCTTCTCTGCTTATGCATGTGCTTTCTCTCTCTCAAAATAAATAAATGAAATTTAAAAAATGTAAAAAAAAAGTCTCGCAGGCTGTGTGCGACATGACCTCCCCTTGTTGGACACCTTCCTTTCACTGTGAACCTGTACTAGAGGTGGGCCAGGGAGATGTTCTCTAGGGACCCCTCATTCTTCTTAGTGATGAGTTTCAGAGGCTTGTTCAGACCATTACACGCTTATGCTAAATTTATGGGATGCATTTTGAGCAAAAGCTTGGAGTCTAGGCTCTACAGTCAGAGTGCCTGGGTCTAAATTACAGCCATTCCTCTCAATAATGTGTGATACTGGTTAAGTTACATAACTTCATCAGCTGGGATTTTCCTATATCTACACTTAAGACAATCTACCTCCTTATCACTATAGTGAGAATTATAAATGTGGTAAATAAAGACTGTTGAGCACTTAACCCAGTTCATGGCACATACTAGGCACTCATTAATGTCAACTATTCTGATGATATGGTAAGGATGATGGTGGTGATAATTTTTCTGACTTTTGAATATAATAAACCTAAAATCTTAAAAGTGATTTTGCACAGGACAGAATTGTGGCATAGAAGGGTAAAATCGGTAATAGTGGTCAAAACCTATTCAATTCAGGTTTTTCAGTTTCGAGTTGTATGACCACTTTCCTCCTATAGATCGCTGGAATTGCTATCTGCTTGTCTGAGGCTGACAAGGAGTATGAGTGCTTGTGTAACTGGGCCAGAGGCACATTTCAATCCAACATGCCCTGCTGACGACAGAGGGTCCACTCTGAAACTTCTGCTCCCAGACACTGGTCTATTTGAACAGAGTGACAGGCTGCTAAGTTAGACTTCTAGTGTCCCTGCACAGGCTTTTTTGGCCACTAGGTGGGAAGGTGGAATGTTTGTCATATTTTGTAACCATACCTCTAATTGTGTGAGTGTGTAATTAAACACCAAAAAAAAAATGATAGCTCTACAGAAAACCCGCTGTCCATCATTATTAATAGAATTAGTGAATCAATATCTTCTGGACTACAGATTTACAATGAAGACCATCTTGCTCTGTTTCGTTAGCTGAATATTAATGTTACAAACGTATATGATTCCAAGATATTGATACCAATGTTATCACTACAATTATAAACAGTGTCTTAATATAGGTATATTGTATCTTATATATAATGATATCTGTAATGAAAAGTTGACATAACAACTTAAATTAGACATTTATTATTTTTTGGTGTAACTATATGAAATTAGGTGGCCTTTATTCAACAAAAATACTTTATGGGCTGAAAGTGGTGAATAACCACTACACTCAATATGCAGTGTTTCCACTTCATACAGTTTCCACCAATAAGACTACTTTAGAACCAATACACACCTTGTGAAAATAATAGTGTAATAGAGATGCAATTCACATTTTTTTGGAAAAGTTAAAACAAACCACATAAATAGATATATTTCAGTTAAAATGGACAAGTTGTCTTTGTTGTGACAGGAGATATCCCTGATTTTAAGTAATGTTTTCATTATATAGGATAAATGGCGGTATTTTAATTATTTTGATAATTTTTTTCAAAGGACATTTCTAAGAAATATTGGTATATAATTCTACTTAAAAATTATCTTCAGATTTGAATTATGTGTCTCAATTTTCTGGTTGGTCAGATACACCCCACACATCTACTAATTGGTGTTGGTATGTGTCACGGAATCATGTAATGGGGAAAAAGCCATGACAAGTGGTAGAACTGGATGCAACCTAAAGGAAGTTAAAACAATCTGACTCACTAAGACCTGTGTGTATGATGTCACATTCACTTGAAATCTAAAACTACTAAATATGGTGGTCTGATCTAATGATATAAGATGTGACAGGGTAAATTATGAATAATTTTCTGACTATGGTGGTGATACATGAAAAATTAAGTGGAGACATAGAGACAGAAATATAATTTAAGCAAAAGCAAATAAGAAAAGACAATCATTTGGAGTATAAAGATAATTAGGACAATTGTCTTTTAGAGTTACAGCTAGTGTCCAATTCAATAATTAATTACAAGGGGTCTACCACAACAGATCTTTACTTGAACAACACAAACTTCAATGATTAAGAAGGTAGGAAGCATTACTTTCTGATGTGTTGGGTGTCTCACCTCTATGACAGACAATTAAGACAGGGAAGAAAAGTTTGAGTTAAGTATTATTTTCCACATTGAAGCCAGCTTGCAAGCAGTTGAAGGCATGGGAGAACAACCTGAAGAATTAGAACAGGGTGGGGGCCAACAAACTATGTCCAGCAGGACAAATTTGGCCAGCTGCCTATTTTTGTAAATAAAGTTTTATTGGATGATAGCTATGCCCCTTCATTTAAGTGTTGCCTATGGTTGAGTTCAAGTGACAGTGGCAGAGCAGAATAGTTATGACAGAAGTCATATGCCCCCCCGCAAAAAAAAAAAAAAAATTGCTATCTGGTTCTTACTGGAGTTTGCTAATATTTGGACTAAAGAAAAAAATTCTTATTCAATGAATTCTGTAAGGAAGTGTATTAAACATGAGATCTGGTTTGTCACATACCTCAGTTTTCTTTCCTTACATGGAGTTATCTTGGATTTCAGATGTAATAGTCTTAGGCATAGTACAGCATGATTTAGTGAATTAAGACCAGCTAGCATTTATTGGAGACCTATAATGTTGATAAATTAATCCAAAAGCTGCAGCTATATTATTATTAAAATATGTGTATCTTAATTGATTAACAATATAGTAGAACTAAGGGGGAGGCTTATAAGTATACGCAAGTGATGTCCCTTTATTTTTGCAATTAGTGATACCTCCAGGAATTCACTTTACTTTTTGCATCTATTGAGTATCCGCTGACATTAGAGCACTAGATATTATGTAAGAAAATCGCACGTGGTAAATGAGGTGAATTCATCTTGACTTGAAATGACTGACAGTGATGCCAAATTTGGGGGTTTTCTAGATGAAGATGAAGGAGATACTCAAGGGCAGGAAGCTCACAGATCTTACTCATCATCACCTCCCCAGCACAAAGAAGGGCTTGACACTTAGTAAAAGCTTAGTAACTGAATATTATTACCAAAACAATTTAGAAATAATGCCATTGGTCACTAACCTTTCACCATCTAGATTATTATTGTTAAAAAGAATGTGATTAGAGAAAACAGAGTTAGATCTTGATAAATAATGTGAACACCTCTAGTTTTTCAGTCCTTGCATCTCTTGGGTAGTAAACTTCTCATAAGCAACATGTAGGCTTTGCTATTCACCCAAGAACATAAACGTTACACACTAGAAAGAATAAAAAAATTCTCTACCAGAAGAGGGGGTTCTAGAAAAGTAAGTTGCATATTTAACTTTTGGAAGTTATGAATATTACTTGATTTTCCTTAATATATATAAAGCCCTAATAGGGGCTTTATTTGAAATAAAATGATGTATGGAGGGAGTAACTCATATTATACCATACATATACATTACATTATACATGTACATATACTATACGTTAAAGCAATGCAACCTCCATTAGACAACATAAAAGTCCAATCTGCAGAAAGAATAATATTAATTGGAAATGGGGCCTTAAAAGAGAAAAAAAAATTCTAAATTTTATTTCATCCTTCATCCGGAAAATACAGCTGCTTTATTTAATTGGTTTCAAAATCTATTTTAATAGAAAATCTCTTTTGCACAACTAACCAGCTCCCAACATTTTGATTGCAAAATGAAGGGCACTTACTTTGATAACTTTAATTATCACTCACTTAGAGGACAGTGTGAAACACTTTTCCAATTGGTGTTTCAGAATCATGAGTCAAAGGAAAAGAATGACAAATTAGCCAGCTGGAGAAGGAAAATACAGCTAGCTGGTGATGCTTGAGTCTTTGTGGATATTTCAAAGTAAGATGAAAGAGAAACAAAAGGGCTGTTAGCCACACATGCTCAAGAAATGAAATACTAGCACAATTTCACAACATGTTAATAACAAGTTAATAGCAAACTTAAAGACTTACTCAACATAATAAGTGCCATATATGGGATCATCAATTTTTTCCCAGCCATATGGAAGCTCTGAAAAATAAAGAGTTATTTCTTTCAGTAAATAAGCAACAGATATCACAATTTCTAATAAAAAGTAATATAATTTAATTGTTCACGTATTGCAGAAGCAGTCTACCAAAGTGGAGGAAAGCATTCAGAGTCAGCACTAACATTCTGACACGTATTGTACGAACTATAAGAAGCAATGACTTGAAAATTGGCAGTTAAAACACAGAGCTCTCTTCTCTGCAGATATACTGCTGGGGCTAGCTGTTGATGCCACGCCAAGCAGTAGGATGGCACGTCATCACGTTATCACCACTCAGGGCAATACAGAAGGCAAATTGCTTTCCTGACAGTGCATACCATTTTCTTATTTATTTGTATTGTTAAAAGGAGCATTTCAGGATAAAGATCATATTTTCAAAATACCTTTCTGAGGATAGCAAATAGTTTCTGATGACTGAAACAAAGGCATTATAAGTTCTCAGTTGACATTCCACAATTCAAGATGGTTAGCTGGCTGTTCTCTCCACACAGGCCAGATTTTGAATGCTGCCAATATACTCTCTGGGCATGGTTTTCAAAGTCTAAAATTTTGAACCCACTTTCCTTGGCAATATGATTCATATTTTTCTATTCTTCATGGTTAATTTTAATACACACATTTAAAAATATCAATAGTACTGTACATGCTTCTATAGGCAAAAACATGCTATTTGAAAACAAGATTTATTTTATGATACTGTTTTCCAAATACATTGGAGCCTTTATGATTATTAACACCTATAAATATGAAGAGTATTATATTTTTCTTTGTAGATATTAATTATACATGCATAGCACCTAGAAGCTAAGGAAGATATATTGGCATGCTTTCAATGATATGTTTAAATGAAATTTAAAAGTTTTATTATTACAGTAATAACACATGTTCACTATAGGCAAGGCACAGTTATAGACAGAAAATTAGAATTATCTGCAGTGTTACCATCCAGAGATAATCACTGCTAATATTTTGGTGGATATCCTTTAACTATTTTCATACATAGGTATTTGTGACTCATTTTTTCAGAGATCAGATCACAGAGTGCACATCATTTTCATAGCCTGTTATTTCTACTTGACAGAGTATCAAGGGCATCTTCAATGTGAATGAGCATTATTGCAGAATGCCACTTTTAGTGGCAGGTGGTGGTCTGCAGTATGGCTAGAGTCTGTACAACACTACCTCTTCTGTTATTGAACATTTGGGACTTTCCGGTTTTTATCTGTTATATGTCACCTGTGTTGGACTCACTAAACCTAAGTCTTCCATCATTTTCCTGGTAACTTAGTCATAATAAATTCCTATAGGTGCAATTTTGGATTAAAGGGCATCTACCCTTTTATGGTCTTTGATCTAAGTTGACAGATTAGCACTGTGCTACTCACAAGATAGAACAATTTATAATATCACTGGGGGTGTATGAATAATTTTGTTTTTCGGTACTATCGAATAAAATGCAGGTCCACAATTCTTCATCCAAAACTTTTATGGACAGTTAGGTTTTAGAATTAAGAAGTTTTCTGATTTTCAGAAGTTAACATGATGCAAATGTCTTCTGTCCCATAATACTCCAAGCAGAGTCTGGGGAAGCAGTTTTTAATCAAATACATGAGCATTTATGCAGCCAAAATTATGTGATCTGTACCAAGAGGCACACATAAGGACTACTTCATATCAGTGAGCACTGTTTTGTTTCCAGAGTGTCTAGGTCAGGTCACATTTTGCTGCCAAATGAGTTACAAAAGACAGTTTTAAGAGCTTTTGAATTTTTGAATATTCAGATAAAGTATTGTGTATCATTATTTTAAAAACCAACCACACTGATTTTAAAATGGCAACTTGTGGTTGGTTTAAGTTACCTTCCTTGGGTTGCTAGCTAGTTAGAACAGTTTTTGTAGGTTTATCCTCAGGCAATTGTGTTTTCTTTTGTACATTTCTCATTTTTAAAAGTCAATCCCTAAGAGTTCTTTATGTATTAAGGATATTAATCCTTTGTCACATGTTGCATATGTGTTTTTGAGTTTGTTTAGATTTAATTTTGAACATTTTCTTTTACACATAGATGTTTTAAATTTTATTCGGTAAATTTCTCAGCGTTTTCACTTAGGTTTTGTCATTGGAGCCTACTTAAATACTGAAGATATTTTTCTAGTGTTTCTTTATCTTGTTTTAACATAAAGTCTAAGCTATGCTTTATTTATATCTCTTAGATTAGTCATATCTGAATGAATATATAACACTAAATTGTGGAGTACCTTAAGAAATTTTTTTTTCAAAATGATCATGATAGCACTACTGAATATTCACTACGATCAAGGTACTGATGGACTTACCATGTGTTAACTCATTTATCCTAAAGAACTCAGAATTGAAAATCCTTGTATTCTGCTTCCAGTGATCTTAACCAATTTAGATATCAATTTAGACACTCTGTTTAGCACAGCATAAACACACTTAATTTAGATTAAGGACAATAACAGTCCAGATGGTTTTCACCAAATCCCCCTAGCTATTGGAGAATTTGCCTATTAAAAAGAAGAATCTGTTTGACAGATATCTACTGGGTGCCCTTGACAAGCAGCAAAAGTAAAAGAATATACAGAGGATAGCAACTGATATTATGACAATTTATTAATATGGCTGAATACATGGACTCATATTTATAATAGGTTTATCATCTCATGAATACAATAATATGTAAAGTAATCACATTCAATAATATATAAAGTAAACAGCTAACATGCTTAATTTTATGGATACTAGTCTTGTGTCTTAATGGTATTGTTATATGGAAACATACGATGGTCGAATTTTTAAAATTATATTTTATAATGTAAACTGTTTCTTCACTTATTCCTTATCTTTGACTCATTCTTTGAGTAAGTTACTAATTCTAAGCAATGCATCCCCAAAGTACAGAGTTAATTGATTCCTTATCTTTGTAGATTTGCAATGCAAAAGGTTCTGGAAACTATTTATTTAGTATCCTGCGTCACTTGCCATCATGAAGTATTCATCAGAATTTACGGGGAATATGATTTGCTTTGCCTAACATATCAATGTATTTTGTTTGTTTGCTTGATTGTTCTACATTTCCAAAATAAATTATTAATTCGTTCAAAAACAAAATTATATATTACAAATATTTATACTCTAAAAATTGAAGTATTTTCATTATTAGTGATTCTTGACTCACAATTTTTTTGGGGGGAGGAAGTAATTTTTATTAAACACTTTATTTCAGATAAATGAATTATAATCTTATTTTTTTTAAATATATTTTTTACCACATTTGACCCAAGGTGAGAAGAGATAGAAAAACATAATGAGAGCTAAATGCTATGTGCTAGGCATTGTTTATGTACGTTATAAAAAACAAATAACTTAATCCTCAAAATTAACTTGTAAGGTACATTATTATCACACTCAATTACAAGATGAGGAAATGAAGATACCAAAAGATTCTGACAGTTAATTGTTCAAGTTTTAAACTCCTATGTCCCACTCCAGAGCCTGCATTTTAATTAATTTATTAATTTTTCATTTACTTATTTTGAGACAAGATGATACACTAACCCTCTGTTATAAAAGCTATTATTCGTTTTATTTTAAATATCTACAAGGGGTTCAGTAATAGATACATTCATCAGTTCCTATATAAATGTGGCACAATGGGTATAAAAATCTACAACCAATGTTTAAATGCTCTGTATGTGTGTATATGAGTGTGTGTGTGTGCATGTGTGTGTGCGCACATGTATGTATGTGTACATTCCCCTTAATGACATTTGCTTGAGTAGTAAAGAAAGGTCTAGGCTAGAATGTCAATGAAAAAACACAAGTTTTTCTTCACTCATAAAAAGACAACTCATAAAATAAACTTCTTAGGATTATAAGCTGAACAGTATATATCTAGATGATGAAAAGTTAAAGTTAAGAATCATCTTTCACTGTGAAAAGGAGCTATTTGGACTTGTGAATTAGTTTTTAAAAATGAATTGCTTCTCTTTAAAATTATGCTAATGATTGAGAAAAAGAATTTCCAATTTTGTACTGTTTGCCCAATTAGGCAAGCATGTAGCTTGGAGCTCTTGGGTCTTGGGTTATTTAGAGTACTGTATTCAACAATACCCGACACATTTGAGAATGATTAAGGTCACACTAATGAAAGAATAACATATACGATGAAACAAGGGAAAATAAACACTTGAGATCAACAAGGTTAATGATGCATTAAAAACTGTTTTAATTGAGATTTTCCTCAGGCCATGGAACCATGGAGCAAATTCAGTGACTAGATATTCGTATCATGATCCACTCTGCAAAAGTCTGTGTTAAGGTCTACATTAACGTAGTAAGTCTAGCCTGTAAGAAGATCAAAAGATGAAAGGGGCATCCAGTTATGCCTGGATTCTGCCATAGCCACCAGGATATATTTTTTTGCTTATTTGTTTTACTCCAATTTATTTATTTGTTTATATTTATTTGTTATGTCTATTTTCATTGCCAAAAAACCAAGCCTCCTTTATGCTAGCACACAAGAAGCAGTTTTCAGACTGCAACTGGGAAACTTGTAGAATCCAAGGACAGTATATCTTTTGGAAATGGGACTCAAATACTGGACAGATGTAAAAAATCTAGCTAGAATATAAAACCTTAGGGTATCTCAGAAAGGCCCTGTTTGTCTCACTTACTTTGTCTTTTAAACTGTGCCTCTTTTCTCTATGTCTCTCTTTCTTTCTTTCAGTTCCAATTCCACTGTGTACATCTCCTTCTTTCTTTTCTACCGTCTACTTCTCTGGTTCATCTTGCATATGTCCTGGAAAGGTCACCCCATACTTGACTCTATGTTATTTTTTAATCTCAAGCACTGCTATCACTACTTGATCTCTGAGTTTTTCAATTCTGTGACCTATCTCCCAAAGGATTCATGAATCCTGCTCATTTTCTTCAAAATAGATTCAAGTGACTTGACTTGGAA